GGACGGAACCCGGAGGAGGCCGACCCTGTGCGATCTAATGGGTCTTTGGGAGGTAATTGGCAGCAGGCGGTCTCTCAATTCTGGGAGTTGAAGTCCACATATCGTCAAGACTGCCTAAGCTGAGAAACACAGCTCTGCTCCCCCCTCCCCCCCACCCCCAAAAAAATTCCTGGTCTCCCTGCAATGAATCTGTAATGCAGTTTCTTCCCTGGCACTCCTTGTTACTCGCAGCCTGAACGGTCGAAAAGGATAGACTTCCATTTCGAGCGCATTAAACGCCTCGCTTTTAAAATCGGGCGTTCTCCACTAACCCCGGAATATTAACCTCCAAGTCGCACCTTGTAGCGTGTCAGGCTTCTACTACAACATGGAAATTGACGTATCATTACGCTTTCATTTCACTTAGAGGCCTATTACGGGGATTTGTTACCACTCTCTTTTTCTCATCCAGGGCTCGGATTACCCAGCCGCTAGCAAAAGGATCTGGCATCGACTTAGAATTCACACCTTCTGCAGAGAGGGAGTCAACAGAGAGAGTGGCCGGGGCTGCAGCTGCCTCCTCCTGACCTTCACCCCCACCCCACCCCCTCGTACAGATGCCCCACTCTAAATGATTATTTCCCCAACGAATCCCACTTCTTGCTGTCTTCCTAACTGCGTAAGGAAGCGATGCCCAGAAGGGTTGGAGGAACAGAAATTCGAAGTACCGTGGGTTTTGCTTGTAGCCCAATGTAACAGTCACAGAGTTGGGAGGGACCTTGGAGGTCATCTAGCCCAACCCCCTTGCTCACGCGCGAGACCTACACTGGGGATTCGAACCGCCGAACTGACGATCTTTTTTATCAACAAGCTGAGCGTCTTAGCTAAAGGGCAAGCTACTCCAGTCAGTAGGCTGTCCTACTGTAAGTAGAAGTATTGTAAGAAGGGGTCGAGCTATTTACCAAGGCAGCCGAAGGCCAAAGAAGGACTAATGGGTGGAAACCGCACACATCTATGCCAGAAACCCAGAAGTTCATTTTTGGATGCGCGCATGCACTGTGGGCAGCTCCTCTTCCGGGTTGCGGCCCAGCGCGAGCGCACACACATAGCAATAGCAGTTAGACTTATATACCACTTCATAGGGCTTTCAGCCCTCTCTAAGCGGTTTACAAAGTTAGCATATTGCCCCCACAGGCTGGGTCCTCATTTTACCCACCTCGGAAGGATGGAAGGCTGAGTCAACCTTGAGCCGGTGAGATTTGAACCGCCGAACTGCAGCTAACAGTCACAATTGACCTTCCCAGTAGCTGGCAGGGGAAGGGTGAGTAGAAGAAGCCAGTGAGGCGCCCCTTGACCTGAGTTACATCGAGGTAGCCACACCCACCCAGTCACATGACCACCTAGCCACGCCCACTCAGCCAGTCATAAGGCAGATCATATTAGCGGTCCGTGGGATTTAAAATTATGAATTTAGTGGTCCTGGAGAACTGAAAGGTTGGTGATTCCTGGCTTATAGGATGTTCTCAATTCCTCAAGTTTCACTTCCCCATTTCAGAGGGAGTTTTCCCCTGGCTAAGATTTAAGGACCTGGAGATAACCGTTACCACGAGAAATAAGATATATATTTTTTAAAGCTTTCGAACTATGCTTAGAGATCGAGACAAACTTAAGTATCGTGTGCTCCAATTTTCCCCCAACAGAAGACTGTTACTAAAGCTGTAGATTGTGCGATCTTCAAGTGGCAAGTTTGCGGCATTCAGCTTCAGAAATCATTCTTTTCTGAAACTCTAAATTTATTTATAAATTTCCAGCTGCAGCTCTTTTGGGGTGCTTGCTCAACAAGAGCCACTTGTCACGGCTACAAGAAGAAACCACCTCTAGCAGCTCCCAGCTTTGCTCACTTCTCACTCCCAGGTGGAGAAACTCCGGCTCATGCCATCTTCAACTGCAGAAAATAAAGGATGGGTTTTAAATCCCCGAATGCCGCGAGTCCTCACCTTACAAACACAACTGGAACTGGAATTTCCTTTGTGAAGCAAAGTGGTTGTTAAGCCTTCTTCTCAAACCAATCACTGTTGATGTTAAGTGAATCCTGCAAGACGTTAAGCGAGTCCAGTTTCCACGATGAAGCAGAGGAACTGAAGAACACACAACATTTGCCAGATCTCACGCAAGAAGGCTGAAGCCAAGATCTCATGATGAAGCAGAGAAACTGAAGAACCACAACGTTTGCCAGATCTCACTCAAGAAGGCTGAAGCCAAGATCTCATGATGAAGCAGAGAAACTGAAGAACGCACAACGTTTGCCAGATCTCACGCATGGAGGCTGAAGCCAAGATCAGTTGATGAAGCAGAGAAACTGAAGAACGCACAACGTTTGCGAGATCTCACACAAGGAGGCTGAAGCCAAGATCTCATGATGAAGCAGAGAAACTGAAGAACGCACAACGTTTGCCAGATCTCACGCGAGAAGGCTGAAACCAAGATCTCATGATGAAGCAGAGAAACTGAAGAACGCACAACATTTATCATCCTTTCTACAGGGATGTTGAGGCATGTTTAATCAGTGGCATTAGCTCGGATGATGCCTCCATCCCAAGCATCATCATTGAAGACCAATGGCTTCTCCTGAAGCATGGCTTACTTCCTGGTAAGAAAGACCCTGATTT